AAATTTAAATAAGATGTGCTGTGCAATCAGAAGGCTTGAGACAGGTGATGCTGCTTTACCAATATTAAAGAGAATACAAGCCTGGGAGTAACATCAGAATTAAAGAGGACTATTTTCCAAAATAAAATAGGCTAGTTCACTAGTGCAATACACACACACACACACACACACACACACACACACACACACTAAATTAAAAACCTTTGAAGCAAAACTGGTAGAACTAAGAACCAACATTAAAGATAGTTCCTTGGATTTTAAAGCCTAAGCAAAGAACCGAATACATAGTGAACCCCGTGGGCCTGTCTAACTGACATTTATAGGACACTTGAGTCCAACAACTTCAGAATACATATTCTTTTCTTTTTCAAGTACATATGGGATGTTTTCCAAGACAGAACATTTACCATATATCAGATCCAAAACTGAGTCAATATAGTTAAAAGGATTGACATAAAAAAAGGATGTGTGATGGCGGTGGCCTCAAAGATTTAAGTCAGAAGTATACAAGAATCATAATACGGAAAAGAATCACTTATTTGAAAACAAAGTAGCACAAGGAGATTAGAAAATGCTTCTGATTTGCAGGGAATGAATATGAAAGAAACATCAAAATTAGTTGGAGGCGTAGAGGTAGTTCTCGGATGGAAATTTTACTTTTCATTACATTTAAAAGGAAATCCAAGCTCAATGATCTCAGTGTATTCATTAAGAACTGTGTAAGAAAAGCAAATTAAGTCTATAGTATGTATAAACATGAGATGAAAACCAATAAAAGAAAAAGGTGAGAAAATTAACAAAGAAAATGTTATCTGGGAAGATCAATAAGTCTGATAAACCCCACGGAGTGTAATTAAGAACAGAAATGAGGAAACTAATTACTAGATGCAGGAATGAAAAGGAATTATTACTTCATGGCTGGTAGACAGAGGACTGCATCAAAGTGACACTGTAGTGCTACGCCGCAAATATATTATGACTTAAATAAAACAGGTGCAATTCACTAAATGCCACAGGTCGTAAAATCTTTCCAGGACGAAATAGAATCTCTGAACTGTTCTATAGCTGTTAAACTTTGTTCTTAACTTGAGAAACGACAGTAACAACAACAAAGCAACCCACAAATGTGTAGGCCCTGTGAGAGACCATCAGGGTACACAAGACTGGTGGCCTGATAAAGGCAGAAGGAGAGAACTGACTTCGTTTTCACTAAGCTGTTCTCTGATCAAATCTACATACAGCATGGAATGTGTCATACAAATATATCGTATACCAATAGAAATAATTTCCAAAGTTTTACAAAGAAAACTCAAGGTGTATAACTTCATTTGTCAATCTTATCAATGTTCAAAGAAGAAATAGTATCTTCTACAATCAATTTGAGAATATTGAGTTGACAATGTTTCCCAGTTTACTCTATGACTATTTATTATCATTCTTGACCAGAATTAGATAGTGAAATTCTAAGAGGTAAAAATTACACAGCACTCTTTCTTACAAATAGAAATAGATGAAAAAAATTCCCTTAAAATCCAGTGGAAAAGTAGTAGGACTCAAATTTTTGATCGAGGGCTCTTGTGGGTTGATGTTTCTTGTCAACATTGGGAAGTTTCCAGAATTTGTTTTTGGATATTTCTTTTGTCTAACATTGTCTGTCTGCTTAATGAAAGGACCTTACATCCCTAAAAGACCCAGAAAAGATGGTATTCAACCAGGAGAGCCACTCCAATTCTCCTACCCAAGGTAGATGAGAAATACATCCTGGCAGTGTTAGGCCAAAGGGGACAGCAACATTGTCTATTATGATCAATATATTTGATCGTTTTATGTGGAGAGCTGCATGTGCCATGCCCTAAGATGCCGCTGGTTTCCGCCTTAGCCCGAGAGCTTACTGGTGTAAACAGCTCCTTCTGTGGTTATGGGGCTGCACATCCACGGGAATGATCCTACGTCAATCTAAGGTGACCTGACGTGCACCTATAGGAGGATGATACATGGCAGATGCTCATTGGCTCTTACAGAGATTTAAGCTTGGCCCGGGTGGAGATCGGGGCCACTTCCCCCTCTGACGACTAGCTGTAAAGAATTCCTGAATAAACCGCTTAGAGAAGGAACCCGGTAGTCGTGTGTCTTGTTTCTGCTGGACAGAAAGAGCGCTGACAGTTTTACACATTCTAATTTTACAGGCTTCAAACAATCATTATCTCAAATTGTTGGACTTCTATCTTAGAATTTCTGTTGCTATGAAGAGGCACATGACTACAACAACTCTAATAAAGGAAACCATTTAATTGGGGCTGGCTTACCATCCAGAGGTTTAGTCATCAAGGCAGGAAGCATGGTGGCATGTAGACAGACATGGTGCTAGAGAGGTAGCTGAGAGTTCTACATCTGGATTGGCAAGGCAGCAGGAAGAGAAAGACCTTGGACCTGGCTTGACCTTCTGAAACCTCAAAGCCCATCCCCAGTGACACACTTTTTCCAATGAGGCCACACCTACTCCAACAAGGCCACACCTCCTAATAATGCCACTCCCTATGAGCCTATGGGGGCCATTTTCATTCAAACCACCCTAAGCATCTTTCCTGATCAGTTTCTTGTAAAGTTGGCTTTAAGGTTGACTGTGGATTCTTTTATGTGTTGTCTATTCACTTGGATGCTTTTTATTTTTCCTTTAAAAGATTATCTTGTTATGTAACATGTATACGTGTTATGTCTGTATGCCTGTCTATGCACTGGATGTGATCCTGAAGAGGTAAGACCAAGGCATCAGATTCCCCTGGAGCTCGAGCTGACAGATTTGAAGTGCCATGTGAGTTCTGGAAATTGAATGTGAGTCCTCTGGAACAACAGCCAGTGCTCTTAAATGCTGAGCCCCGCCCCCTCAGCCTTGCTTTTCACTTTGCAATTTGGATTTACTGTGATTTTCTTTTGGAGTCCTGTGTGGGAAGAGTAAAGCTTCACCCTTACCCCCACAACATACACACACTAGAGGAGGACTCCTTGAATATAAACAGCGCAGACACATGATATCTGGATCTGCTCTAAGCCTGCTGATGCACTGTGGGTGGTTATAGGATTATCCTCTCCCTTTCCATAGCTCAAGAAGAAAACATGGTTCTCTTTCCTGGGACACAATAGAGATTTTCTAGTCTCTTACATAAAAGGGGATTTTGTTTTAGTTTGTGGATTTATAAAGATCTCTTCATCTCTGCTTCCTGTCTCTCATAGGAACAAGGTCCAGTTTCCTTGGACTGCATTAAAAGTCTAGACTTCCATCCTTGAGTCTGCCCTTGCTCTGCCTCTCCTTAGGCTGTGTCAGCAACATCAGCTTGTGGGGTGGTGTGTAGGGTTTGTTTCCCGTTGTCTTTATAAACTTGGATACATTGTTTTCCTGCTTTGTCTGTTTACCTTTTCTTTATGCTGAGATGGGATTAAGCAGTAAACCTACATATGTCTGTGAGTAGGCTTTGCTCTCAGATTATTTTACACTGCACAAATGAAAGTAACTGGATCTCATTGAGAACACTTGGGGCTCTCAGTCCTACTTATTGGTAATAGGCATACTAACATCTCAGAACCGAGGAGCAGCCCAGATAATGGACTGTTTGCAGATCCTCCAGGTGTCTGCCCAAGGACTGGGCATAAACAGGTATTGATTGACCAGTTGTCCCACCCAAAGATGATTATTTTCTGGGTTGCTGATATTACAGGGCATAGTATTAGTGGTATGTTTGAGGCTTTTAAAAGTGACTTACCAACTCAGTAAGGATATAGCCATGGTTTCTGTAATGTGTACCCAGTTGGCCACACTCAGGAGAAGTGGGTTTTCTAGGGTTATCCCTCTGTAGTGCTAGCCAGGGCTCTTAGGCACTTTCAGACTAATAGTAGAAGAGCAAGTCCTTCCATTCCATCATGAGAGCAGATGTTTTTCTGCTTCTAGCTGATGTTGTGTGTTTATTTTCCTTCTCTCCTATCTTCCTGGCAATTAATGCCTTATAGCTCATTCCTTCACCAAGTGCCTTCTTTGTGATGTTCTTGCAGATGCTTCTGCATGCTGTTACCTTCCCATGTGAAATTCTGGTTCTTCTTTGACAGGACCCCGGTCAGTTTTTGTTGTTGTTGTTGTTTAAATGAACCTTCTCCAAAACCAGTTTTCCCCCCTTTGTTCTTAACCTGCAGCTGCCAAACCTTATACCAACTCTGTATACCCCTATGAGATGTGATGAAGTCTGTGGGAAGACAGGCCAGAATCCTCTAACGGAATTCAGAGTAGTCTTCAAGGTGTGCATTCTGTACTTCTGGTGACAAATGGGTCACATTCTAACTCACCTCTGACTGCTCTTATCAGTACCATCTTCCCAGAAGGGCAGCAAGAAAGATGCCCCTGGACCAGGGTCTCTGTGGCTGGTCTCCCTCAACCCCTCCTTGTTCATTTACTGTTCTTTGAATCAAAAAGGCCTACAGGATCAAGTTTTAATTTTCGAAATCTGTTTCAAAAGAAGATGAGGCTCTCTGCTGATCTAGTGTGGTATATCACACCATACATTTGCCTAGCTTAGCTCTTCCATAGAAAGTCTCAAGAAGGAGCTGGTCACTGAAAACATCGGGTTTTGCAGGAAAGACACAGGTTTACTCCTGCGTGGTCTACCTCGTTGGGCTGGAGAAACTTCCTAAGTGTGCGACGCGGATTCTGGCACCAGAGGGAGTCCTGGAGGACTGGGTCTGGAAACTGTTACTGGTGTGAGTATGGCACACAATTGATAGCAGGAACAAGTAGCCCGGGGTCAGAGGCCATCGACTAGCAGCGCAGGGATGCAGTTCCCCGGGCGGCCACGGAGCTGCGCGGCCCAGCGAGCGCTCGCGAGGCGGGGGCGCGCTGTCACGTGTGGGGGCGCGCGGTGGCGGCGGGCGCGCGCAGCGCTTTAAAGGCGCGGAGGCGGCTGGAGCGGCAGCTCGGCCCCGGGCGGACGGCGGGACTCAGCCGCGGCTCCGGCGACATGTGCGGCGGGCGGGGAGGCATCTGGCTGGCTCTGGCCGCGGCGCTGCTGCACGGTAACCGCAGCGCGGCTCTGGCCGTACTCCCTACGGCGGGCTATGGGGAGCAGGCTCCGGCGGGCGGACGGGCGGGCGAGCAGGCGGGCGGGTGGGAGGGTGGTCCCGGGTTGCGGCCGGGTGGCGGGGCTGAGCTGCTCCGGGGCGGGGTGGTGGCCGTGCTCTGAGGCCCGCTGGGCGCTCTGCTTCCCAAGTGTCCCTGCAAGGCGAGTTCCAGAGGAGGCTGTACAAGGAGCTGGTCAAGAACTACAACCCGCTGGAGAGGCCGGTGGCCAACGACTCGCAGCCGCTCACCGTGTACTTCTCCTTGAGCCTCCTGCAAATCATGGATGTGGTGAGTCTGGCGCGGCGCTCTGGCTACACACGCTCCTGTCCTGGACAAGGTTGCGCTTCAGGCAGGACCCCCCAGCCACCTGTGCATGAGTACTTGGGTCGCGCCTTTCTCTCAGCTAGAAACTCCCGGCCAAAGTGTCCCAAGCTGGGAGTCAGTAGCAGAAACAGGCTTCCTTCATCACTTTCAGTCTCCCTTAGAGAGAAAACTAGTGCAGTTCTGTGCCCAGAATAGTTTAGGCACTTACAAGCTTTCCTCTTTAGAGACTGCGTAGTGCCTTGGTGGGGGCCTGGCTTTTCGGCTGCCAATCTGTCTGGGTAGAAGGCCAACTGTAGGTGTTTAGAAGCGTTCCCATTAGGGAGATGGACACTTTTTATTTTGTGGAGAGGACAGCTGCTTGTGATCCTTCTTGGAGGATTCCAGGCAGCTGATAGCAGTCCCCTGGACCCCATGCAGCAAGCCACAGGATTCAGATGCCACACCCCTGCAGTATCTGTGACAGCTTGTTTTTTCTTCTGCCAGCTGGGCTACTTTTGCGATTTTTCATAGGTGGAGTTTTCCAAACGATGCCAATACTTAGAAAGTGTTCCAGTGTCTGTTCTCGACAAGGCTTGTGGTGGGTAAGGCTGGAGCAAAGGGGTGTTTGTGTTCATCAAGAGGGACTACTATGAGAGCAAAGAGGTCCCAAAGGAACTTTGGTAAAGTGGCACGGGAGGCGATACTTCCCACTCCTACCTTCACTCCTGTACTGTTCCTTTTAGTCTAGTTAGTTTTCATGATGAATAGCTTCTAACCTCATAGTATACCCGTTAAGCCTGCATCTCCACCCATGACAGAATCCTACTTTATTAAGTGTGTGCAGTGTGGAGGGATGTATCTTGAAGTGTGTAGAAGACAGCTGCTGTGGTGTGGACAGTTGTTTTCTAAGTTTACAGAGCACAGACTACAGGAAAGGAGGAAGAAATCTTGTTGGTTTTGAGTCTGAGTGACAGACAGTGAGGAGGCGGTTCTACCACGGAGCAGAGCATAGATCAGAGAGAAGTGGGGGAGGGGGGCGGGGGGGGAGAGCAGTAAGGGAGAGGAGGTGGAAAGGCTCCTGAGCATTTGGGTTAGGGCAGAACTACAGAACTGTTCAATTAAGTAGCAGAGACATTGTTCTTGTGGCTTCTGGCTTTGCTGGTGTCTGGGGGGTTGACTTTGGGAAGTTTCATAAACATCTTGAGCTTTGGCTTCCTTGCTAACAGAATGAACACTTGCATACTTCACTGCTCTCATGATGAGCTAAAAACAATAAAGATGACTTCAAGATTCCTCAAAGACAAATTCATAAATATAGTTATTTTCGTGCAAAACATACTCAAGGGTCAGGTAGCTAGGCCAACGTGTTCCATAAAAGTCACACAGTAAGATGACTTCTGTCCCTACTTGCCTAGGGTCTGCTTTGGCCAGCCTGCCTCAGCCCTGAAGGATGTGCTTCATGGCGGCCTCTGGCTGTGTAGCAAGCTTTATGGTATAGGGGCTAGTCAGCTGCAGAGCTTGTGTGAAGAAATAGAGCAGGCTTTGTAAGCCTATTGAAAAGGAAGACTCTTAAGAAATCTGGTTACTATGTTAATAAGGCTTGCTGACTTAATATGTTAATAAGGGCTGCTGACTTGGAGAAGTTAAGTTGTAAGCTAGGATTAATGGTGTGGAAAAACTTACTTATGTTACACAACTGTAAAAAATTAAAAACAACAAATCATAAACCTTTAAGTTATTGCTGTATCAGTTAGGGAAAAAAAAACCATGGGAAGGGGATCATGAGCAGAAGTCAAGGGGAGGGTGAGGTTTGGGGAAATCTCAGTCTCCTCTGGGTCTCAGATCTAGCTTCGAACATACTGAACTTCCCACTAGGCTGCATGTTTGTGGAGTGGCCTTGAGAAAGCTACTTAACTTTTCTCAGTCCTGCTCTCTCATGTGTAAAATGAGAACAATCATATCCACTTCACAGGTTTTGAGAGGATTAAAAAAGAGAAGTTCTTGCCACACGCTGATAATTTGCTGAAAGCTTACTCCATCTTAATAATGTAGTGACTTCATTCAGAGGTCAGGAAGTCTATTCCTAGAGAGGTATGGTCACCTGCCCAAGGATGCCCAAAGATTACAGGCAGTCTGCTGAGGAAAACTCAAACGGAGTGAGTTTGCATGCTCTTTGCCTATCATAAGCTTTTCTGACTTGGTAACTTATTTTTCTAGAACAGATCCAGCTTAATCTACTTAAACTGGATACACTGTAGCTGATTGGATGTGTCTGTCCTAAGCTCCTGGGTGAGAAGGAGGTTTCTACATCAGGCACAAGGAAATATGCAAGCATTTGTATTCTAATCACGTTTGGCTTTACCCTTTTTGAAACAGAGCCAGGTCTTTCTTACTGAAATCTCAGCACTCTGGACAGAGGCACCAGCTCTTGTGAGGGTTATGAGTTGCAGTCTTCTCATGTGTTGGAATCTTTTTACAAATTCATCTCTAGGGAGTCATTTTGCTTATTCCAACCTACTATTCCATAGAATAGAGTTTATTGCTCCCAACTTATTATTGTTCCCCCCTTTTTTTCATGAAAATATCCTGCCTTCAGAGATTCATAGATGGCATGTGATGCCACATATGTTTTATTCATGCAAGATGGTTTGTGTCATCACTCTATTCCTCCTGTGTTTATAGGACTTCCAATGTAAGGCTTGTTAGGCTCTGAGATGAATAAGAGAGGACTTCCACCTCTAGAGGCTACATGATCTGGCTAGATATAAGACTAAGAAGAAAAATCTAAGATTTCCACATGTGATGGAATTTGACATGGTTTTCAAAGTGCTGCAGATCGTGCATTGGGAAACATTTATTCCCAGTGATCATGGCTGGGGTGGTTTCAAAGAGCAAGAGGTTAGATTTCTAATAGGAGTTTCCCAGATAGAGAAAGTAGGAAGACTTTCCCAAGTAATGGAAACAGAGGGAAGAGAGATTCTAAATGTAAAGAATGAGACACTACTTCAACAAGGTGTTTCCATGAAATCCTTGCTTCTACCTTTAGCAAGGTGTTTCCATAAGATCCCAGCTCCCTGCCTTCAACTAGGTGTTTCCATGGAATCCTTTCTCAGTTGATCTTTGCTTCATGTTTGGCTGAAAGACTTCTTAGGAAATTTATGCTTTATTAAAAGTTCAAAAGCATTGATCAACCCATAAAGCGTTCTTATCAACCTTTCTTCTAGTATGTATTCTTTAAAAAAAAAGTATCTGATTTTTCTCTGGTAGGAAGTGCTAGTGTGTAAAGTATCTTGAATATGCTACAGAGTTCACAGACTGACCTGTGATCTACCTGAGTGTCATAGACTCTGTGCTTGAAAAGTTAGCATTCTACAGTTTTATAAGCCCATAAGTCTAGTTTGCCAGAGTCCATTTTCCTTTCCTAGAAATGGAAACATTCTAACCATAGCTTTTTATTAAACCTAATAAGTATGAATTATAGATTAGAATGAAAAATGTGCATAATGTTTTGAAGATAAAACATGGGTCTTTAGAGGATTTGCTGTACCCACTGTGGTCTGTTCTAGTTATTTGGCTATCCTCTTGGTGAGGCACTTAGTAGCGGGAAGACATGGTAAATATCTGAGCAGGGCAGGGAAGTATCAGGATCTATATTTAGAAGATACAAAAGCTTAGAATGTGGGGCATGCCAGAGAGGAAAGAAAATTTGGGCAAGGATACAGAGATCTTTCCTAGTTTGTTTTCTGTTGCTCTAACAAAATAGCTCAGACTGTAAATTATAAGAAAGAGGTTTATTTTGGTTCCTGGTTCTAGGAACTACAAAGACCAGGATCATGGTCATGACATCCTCTCAGGTTCTAGTGAGGGCCTTAATGCTGCTTCACCTCAGCAGAAAGCAAAAGGGCAAATGAGCACATGCAAAAGAGGCTAGATACAGGGGCAGCCTTAAGTTATATGTTATTCTTGAGGCAACTGATCCAGTCTCTTGAGAATTAACCAAGTCCTGTGAGAAAGACATTAATTCTAGAGGACACTGTCCCCAGGACTCATGTACCAGTCACTAAGGCACACCCTGACATTGCTGTATTAAAGAATTAACATTTTAATGTATGGACATTCGGTGACACATTTAAACTAAACAGGGTCAAACACAGCTTGGCCTCTATGGAAATGTGGAGAAAGGGAAAGATTCAAGAGATTTGTTGGATATGGCATCATGCGGCATAGTTGTTTATAAGCGTCATGCACATTGCTTTCATGTGCACGCACAGATCATATAAGTGAAAGTGCTTCCTTATTCTTAATGTATAAAGTGCTTCCTTATTCCTTATGTATACCCAGGTTTGTGGTGATTCTTAATTTACTTCATGGGCCTTTCATTGGACTGAGAATGAGGTCATGGAAATCATTCTGATGACTTATAGATGGAGGATTCTAAGTTGCCACTGGTTTTATAATATTTTTCCTCTGCTGCTACTTGGTCATTTTCCTGGGCCCCTGCATCTAAAGGCCATCCTTAATGTTCACTTGCATAAAATAAATATGCAGTTATAAAAAAATCTCCAGAAGGTGATATGTTTAGAATGAATAATACAAATCAATATGTAATTATATACAAATACAAAACATGTTATTATGCATGAATGAATTTTAGAATTTTATAGATTTTGGATTATAGTGCTTTCTGGAAGTTTTACTCATACGATAGTGGAACTGGTGGCAGATTTCAGTTTTGCCCCTGTAGAGGGCAGGCATGGTGTGGAGCCCAGTTTCCTAAGAGCTTGGGGTTTATTTGAAGTGCTGTTAGTGCCTCGCTTACATTTAGCAGATTTTGTGCTTTTCATTTATCAGATGTATTTAAGTGTCACAACTCTAAATAAAAACCATACTCATATATCACGTTTAGCAGAAATGACCAAAGTGAAATGTCAGATAGTTACTATAATTTATTTTAATACCTTAAAAAAAATAAAGAGCACTTCTGG